CACCACTCTGCAGTGTGAATCGCCCTATGTGTTCTAGAGTAGATACTTCTCCTAAACCAGTGAATAATGAAAATTCTGACACTTTGTACCCTCTAGGCCATGGATATGCTTGATCTACCCAATCAGGATATGACATCGTATAAGTAGGCCTGATGACAGGACGTAACCCAAGAGCCATTTGATCCTGCACTATCTCCATGATTTGATTCCTCAACATGACATTAGGATCATATGGAATTCCTACGTGTTAGTTTAATGGTTGATTCGCTTGAGGCCTAACATTTGGTCCTTGGTTGGCAACAAAATTGTCATTGTTTAGGCCTTTATTACCATTAAACTGAGTGTTTAAACCATCATTAATACGCGGGGCGTTTTGTCTATCATTCAGGACATTATCTCTTATAATTGAATTACCTCCGAGGTTGTTAATCCCATTACCACCATTCGAGTCTAGCATCCCAATACCCCCCTGGTTTGAAGTAGATAGACCAAAAGGTGGTTCTAGTCCTTTATTTAAGTTCAAACCAGCAGAATTATATGGTGAATTGTGTCCCACAATTGTCCTGGTTTGAAAGTAGTTTGCAACAGGCATAACTGACTGACATATTTGGCCTACTAACTTGTTCATTATCGCATTTAATGTATTCAGTTGTTTGGCTATACTATCATAATGTGCATTCCTACTTTGGGTAAATCTTTTCATATTATGAATATTTCGTAAATTTATCTGTTCAACGACATCCTGTGTGAGTTTGCCGAGCAATGCATGCATGGTTCGAGGACTCAACTCTGTCATTGGTTCGTAACGACTGTGACTACTTTGACTTTGTCCCTCTGTTCGTGGACAGTTTTGCTACTCATCATATCGCTCGATTACAGACTGGACTATTCCTTAACTTGCTGGTTCCTTATCAGAATGTTTGTGAGGCATAATGCTTCATTTTTTTTGCATCTTCAACACTAAACACCAATGTCCCACTGGACGTGCCAAATTTTTTCGCGCGGGTGACTGCTAACAAATAAAAAAGAAATTCAAACGATTGTGTAAGGGACAAACCTCTTGAGACAAAGTCCCAAAAAGGGGTGCTTTATTGATGAGAGTTACAACTGGAAATAAAAAGAATGCCTCTAAGGGGCGCAAGCACACGAGTACTGAAAAAAGGATAAGTAAAGTTAATCTAAGAAATTGAAATTACATATTCTTTGTTTGAGAGTGTTTGATTCGGGGTTATTTTCTCTATGTCTATTCTTTCTTTTTATATTCTCATGATGATTTCTTCGTGATAAACCGCTTGAAAACTGCTACCCATTTTCTTCATAGTGGCTAACTTGTCGTGGAACTGCCATTTCTAACTGCTGCCATTACTTTTTGTCGTTCAACTCCCTTCAAATGGGTTCCTTAAATCGTGGAATGTGATAATCGGCTTGATAACTATTTCAGTAACTGCTATTTCTGGATGACCATAATATCTCATGTATTAAGATTCTGGGCGACTCAAAGGTTCGAGCGAAAACTAGGTTGTCGCTCTGAGCGACAGTGAGGCACTTCATTCCTCCAAACTCTGGGCGTTTTGCAGGATTGGGAGATGATGTTACTGTATTCGTGGGCTTCTTCTACATTTACCAATAACCTCATTTGGGCCCTTATCCTGGACTCTCCAATTGGGCTTCACTATTTGGGCTATTCAATTTGGACAGTACTTTTAGTGTGTCAACATCCTCCCACCTAATTTGGGTTTTCCCTCATAAACTCGCTATTATGCCGTTCAATAAGGAGTAAGAAGAGAAATGACTATTTGGGAGGAAGTTATTATGAAATTAGCATTCGTTTCTTTGTACCTAACACACCTATTTATAGATTTTTATTTAGGCCTTGGGGTTAAAGGGGAGTCTTTTTAGTTGATGACATATGATAGCTTTTGACCGAATGACTTTAACTAATTCTATTATCCATTCACTTTTTATTTTGTTAGCTTAATGTCTTTCATTCATTTTTTATGAAGTCGTGTTTTATACCTCTATTCACGTTTCTTTTAATAACGATTTTTGTTGATGCGGAATGATTTGATGGAAATAGTTCATTACTTTAGTTGCGGGTTCTCATATTTATGAATGTTCGCTTCTGCTTCATGAGGTTCACATAGTCGGGATACGAGTTCGCTAATGAATTTACGATTTTTTTATTCAACAATGGTAAAGGAGAGAAGAAGAAAGATTGTTCATCTACAATGACAAGTGAGATTGCTCAAGGATTGGGAATGGGATTACTTGATTGAAGGGGGAGTCCCATGTTTATGAGGCTTTTGATAAGCTAAAAAGAGCAAACTAAGGAAGTTGTCAAATGTTTACAGATAGTGACGAAACTAAACTTCCACCAGGAGGACAAAATTTTGGGGAAGAAATGATGGACGACTTGAATTTTGTTTTTAGTTCTAGTCTGAATGTTATTTTTATTTTTGGATGTGATGGGGTGGGGTGGTGTGGGGTAGGGGTTGCGTGGGTGAGGAAGATGAAGAATTTCCTCTTTATTTATTTATTAGTTTCCATTTTATTTGAAGTGGTAAAATATAGACTTGCCATTTTGTCATTTTTGAAGATACTCAAATTATTTACTTTTGATCACCTAACGGGTTTTCAAACGGAAACCGTCCGAGGTCCTTCTATCAAACACTTTTGAAAGGCTTACAGCGTATTTACCACGATTTGAATGTTTGGAGCCGCACGACACTTTTTTGAAAGTTTTGAGACCTTCGTTGCAAATTTACCTAATTTTGCCATGTTTTACAATCATTATTTGAGAAAAACAAAGTTTCGAATAGTGTTTTTAGAAAAATGTGATAAATAAGTATATAGAAAAAAATAATTTTCAAATAATGGCTAAATAATAAAAAAACAAAGGTTAGAAAGATGCAAAAGTAAGTAAAGCAAGACAAAATTGGATTAATATCTCACGTGTATATTTCTTGAGAAATACTATTCATCCCTAGGGGTGGGCGCGTGTCGGTTCGATTTGATTCGATTTTTTTCGGTTCCAGAAATTTTCGGGTATTTAGGAAATGGAACCGTCGGTTCCAAATAAAATTTTGGAACCGTTCGGTTTTGGTTCGGTTCAGTTCGGTTTTATTCGGTTCCGCTCGGTTTCGTACTATAATTAAATTTTTTAACATTTAAAATAATACTACATAAATACACCTTAAAGTGGATACCAATATTAATAACAAAAAGTAGATACAAATACCAAGTTCAATCTTAACTTTTACAAATTAACGTAATCTAATTTAATAACATATAAATAATAAGTTGTCAAATACAAATACCAAAAAGTAAATATTACTAATAAAACTTCGATATTCATATCAATAATTCATTTGCTTCAAACCTTCAAATCTACATAAAAGTGAAATATAAATTAGAAGTCACAAATATAAAATATTTTAAAGTATTGATAATACTTACCAACTATTTAATGTAATTATTAGTTGGTTGACTTTCCATACTAACTATTAAGAAACTATATAAGAAAAAATTGAAAAAAACACAACTAACAAACATAAATAAACTCTAAATTGTTCAACTAATAAGATTTAATAAGAAAAAAATTATTAATTTGTTTAGAAAAAATAAAAGAAATTGATTTATCCAATATTAAAAAAAAAAAAAATCGATTCTTATTCGGTTCTTCGGTTTTGGGTCTAGAACCGAGAACCGAGCCAAACCATTCGATTCTCGATTCGGATACCCGTTCGGGTATTTCATTTAAAAAACTCGCTCGGTTCGGTTCGGTTCCGGTTCGGTTCGAATATTTTGTCCAACTCTATTCATCTCCAGTGGGGATGCATCTCCAATCTATGTGGCGTTAATGTGGCATTAAATGATATGTAAAATTAAATAAGTCATTTAATTTCACATATCATTTAACCAATCATTTACATCCACATAGATTGGGGATGCATCTTCACCAGGGATGAATAGCATTTTTCATATTTTTTAGTAATGTTGGATCAATCCTATTATTCCAAACTATGTGAGTGGGCGAGTCCGTCGTAGCCGCAAAACTCCTAAGATTTTGTCTATAAAACAAGGAATTTGTCGATATCGAGAAAGCTAGAAACTATGAAGCAATCTCGTTTTCATAACTTTCGTTTGATTCTATTTTGCCTCCTTGGTGAGACTATACGAGGACAATTTTCCACCTAACAATTTTCTGATGAATAAATTGTTTACATTTAATTTTAATCACGCTCCATCCATAACCGAAACAAAACACTCAAAATAAGTCAAATTTAAATTAATAATGCCTTTATACTAGGAATGTTCACCATGAATTTTACATTTTCAAGCCTTGAATTTGAATCTAACGAACCACCGTTACTCACAATTGTAATATATAATATACATATTCATGTTCGACCACCTTTGAGCCAAGAAAAAGTAAAAAGTATGCTTATTTGAAACGTTAATCGTTCATTTGTTCAAGATTATTTGATTAATAAAGTTACTTTTTGTTGAAAAGATAATCGGATTGGTCAAATTTCATTTTACCAATAAATTTTATTCAATTTTAACCATGTATTTAATGAGATTTATCAATTTTTATCAACTTTATTTACTAAAATTATGCATCAAACGGCAAAATCTATTTTTTGAACTTTATACCAGCAGGAATAGTCAATTATGATAATAACCTTGACTTTGACCAGCCATTTGCTAGTCAATCAATAGCCTTTGATTTTGAAATTTAAAATAGAAAAAAAAATTATTAACATTGAATATGGTATTCATGTCAACATAGTGATTCTTGTGATCTTCATTGATTGTCAATCCTTATCCCTCTTCTCAACAAGTGTGGGGGCACATCATCATATGAAATGTGTGTGCATTGTACACTATCTTCTCTACTACGTAATGTTTTTACAGTAATGTAAATATTTTATATTTGAAATTTTCACATACTACAATAAATTTATCATGTGAAAATCGTGTGACGATTTTTAAACCCTTCAGACCTGAGGCACGGAATCAATGGATGCGGTCACGGCTACGCTTGCATAATCTTTACAACTTAACGCACTTAACAAATCATTACCCCAAGAATTTCTCCGGTCATTCCGTCTAGCTGGAGCCTTCACACGGTTCTCAGCCGCCGGAAACACACTCCTTGAAATATTCCGGCGAACCTGCCGGTTTTTTATATCTTGGAGATCCATTTCTGGTGGGAATTTCACTAGGCCAAACATCAAAATAGACCATCCTGGTTTAGATACCTTTGATCCCGGATCAGATTTTGTCGAACTCTTTGATGAACTTCTTTGAATTTCCGAGTCGTCAGATTTCATAACCAAGCTTGAATTACTGAGTTTTCTGTAATATAAAGCCCTGCTGTTTCTTATCAACTTCTTCGTCTTGTGTGATCTTGTGTACTGATCAGACAATGATTCGCAGCTTCTTGTATTAAAATTCATTAAGCTATTATCATCTATAGAGAGAGAATTGTGAGTATGATCCTTGATAAGATGTTGTTCTTTGTAGGGTACGAGTTTACCACAGAAAATGATGTCTTCAGCATGGGACATGTCGGAACTGACATCACTGAAGAACTCGAACAAATCTGAGGATTCAGACAAAGAAGAACTTCGATCTTGAATCTTGGAAAAATCCTTCTTCTCGGATTCGTTAAAGTTTAGAGGAAAATCACAAAGAGAAAGTGTCTCTTCTGCTTCTTCTGTTGTATCCACTCGTTCCTGAAAACTAGTAGAATTATCCATTTTCAGAGAGAGGTAAAAGTGATAGAAAATTAGGCTATCTCGGAAAGTGTGAGAGCTATTGAATTGTGTATATATAATTATATATCAAGATTTTTCTAAGATGTTTCGAATAATTCTAGAGCAAGATGATATCAAGAAGTTTGTAGGGTTAGACAAAAGTTGGATTGTTTCCTTGTGGCTTCTTCAGAAGATCAATGTTGAAATATTTTAATGGTCCGTATACTACTTGATAACGTTAAATTTGTGGCTTCTAGATACAATTGCACGGAGAGAAATAAGACAAGAGGGAGAGGTTAGAGACAAGAGTCCATTTCTACTTCTAGAATAGAGAAAAATTTCGGTCTAGGTTACTTGGTTAATGGTCAAGAGTAGATGTTACTTCCCTTTCTTTTGGGGCATTAGACTTAGTGGCCTTATGAATCTTTGATGGTTAATTATTTAGCCCATGTTTGGTAAAAATTAAAATTTAGAATTTAATTTAAATCAAAGTGAATAATTAATTTTAACCACATATTTCCTGAGATCCACAACTTTTCAACCCACATTTCATCAATTTTTATCAAATTTACTAAAAATATAATTTTAACCCCCACCAAACATGGTCTATATACATGTGAGCGACACATGTTTAGTACGTAACATTGAACATTACAATGGTTGGACTTTTAACTTCTCTTAATACAATTTGATGACAAGAAAATTGGTGTTTATCATGACTTACTATTGCTTCATCGATGGGGCTGGAAATTGGTTGTCTTACATTAACTCGCATGTCCAAGTGGGATGAAATGAACATTCATGTCTCGATCGTCGAGACTTACCTGAACAAAGGAATGCTTCGGTTGCCGAAGCTTTCCTCAACAAAGATATATGTGCACTTTAACAATTAACCAAAAACCTGATTAGATGTTTTGGATAACCTCGATCAGGGATGATAATATTAATGTAAATTTTGATAAATTAACCTTGATTTCATTGCATCATGTCTTCACATGAAAACAGTGAGTTCCTAGACACCTGTCATGAAAAACAAAAATATAAATAAGGTTTGAAAATTGGAACTTAATCATGATTTTCTATAAAAAAGATTGATAGTGTAAATTATAAGCCAATATCCATCTAGTGTAAAGAGGCCGTTGGACAACGAAGAAGCATGATTTTTGAATAGTTTAACTATGGTGCAATCAAGAAAAAACATATAAAGTTGATATTAAGAAATATTATCTATTTTTTGAGGTTAACATGTTGCATAGGTATCTTTGGCTTTCAGCCGGAAATAGCTAATATTGTCGAGCTGTCAAGCCACTGTTTGGGTTTTATTTTCATTTTTATTAAAAACTTTTCAAAGTCAAACTTTAATTTTAGCGATACATTTTCTATGACCGACAATTCATTTATTAGAAAGTAATTTCTAGTTAATAAATAAATAAATAAATAAATAAATCGAAATCCAAATAGAGGCAACATCTCCCTTGAGAAGAAATCTCTAAATTCTAAGGAGTGGATGGAGGAGGGTGATAAGTTAGTTGGAAAAACGACACTATCTATAACAAGGCAATCAATTCAGATTAACATGTCAACTACCTTTTGAATATCATGTAATGCTTCTAACTTGAGCATCCGAGTCCTACCTAGGAACACTTTCCCATTTTAATTTTTGAAAATCTATTCAAATTAGCATAACACAACAATGGGCTAACCATTGGGCACTTGATTGTGGATTGATGTCAAATGGAGAAGGCAAAACCTGTTTTTGTAGTTTAAGTCAGGCCCAAAATTCAAGCTTACATGTTAAGTTACTTGTAAAATATTTTATTATGTGAATGTGTGATTGAAAATGAGTAAGAAATAAAGAATTTTTAAATAAAGAGAGTCAAACGAGGTTTAATTTGTGTACTTGATTAGCGGGCAAGGAAAATGATTAACTACTCCATAAAGAGTAGAATAGGTTGTTGTTGGGAAGCCCATTTCTTGATTTTTGAGGATGTGTCTATTGGGAATCAAAAGTGGCATGATTGATAACAATAATAATAATAATAAATACTCCATCAATCCCAATTATATAGGTTGAGTTTCTTTTTTTTCTTGTCCTAAATATATAGGTTTGTTTCCTAATGTAGAATATTTTCTTGTATTCCTTTACTAATATACCTTTATTAAATTTTCCCCATTTAATATGCAAACTTCTTGAAAATTCAAATTCTTGATTAATTCCAACAATAATTTAGTTTTACACACTGAAATGAAATAGGGGTAAATTTGGAAAGATCTTGTCAAAAATTAATTTTCCAATGACATTAAATAAGATTTCTTAATTCGTGTGAAAAACTAAACAAGCCTATATAATTGGGACGTAAGGAGTAATAAGAAAAGAAATTGAACTGTTTTTTTCTTTTTAATACTTTCAATATTGCTCATGAACTAGGTTGAACTTTTAATTGATATTACGTGAAATTTTAATATTTCTTTTTATACTGTTCATAACTCTACAATTTATGTTACCAAACAAACCATCAATTATTGATAATTGCGCAACTTTGGCCAGCTTTTGACTTCAATAAAAAGGCTATGGTTTAAAATTACACGTTTGGTATACTAAATTTTAACCAATTTGATAAGATAACAAACAAAAATTTTGTATACGTTCATCTCTCTAAGGAGAAATTCGGACCATTGTTGCTATTATATTTAAAAGTACAAAGCTAGGTTTCTAATAATAACTTACAAACATGTACCACTAAACAGACTTTTATATAGTCCCTCTCTCTCTCTCTCTCTCTCTCTCTCTCTCTCTCTCTCACGATTGAGAGAGAGAGTGGTGACGGGAGGGGCGAACCCCTCCCCTAACCCCACCACCACCGGCCGGCGGTCGGTGGCAGCGCCACCACAAGGGTGAAGTCGGTAACGGGGAAAAGGGGGGGTTTTCCAATTTTTGAGCGAAAGGGTTCTATTTGGGACACACTATTTTGCTCGGATTTACACACTTTTATATAGTCTCTCTCTCTCTCTCTCTCTCTCTCTCTCTCTCTCTCTCTCTCTCTCTCTCTCTCTAACGATTAATTTACACTTCCCACACCACCACCTCAAGCCCTTCCTTCCCCAATCTGAATCTTTATCCTCCTTCACCACTACGACCACAACAAAACACACTTACCTCCAGCCCCAATATGCAAGGATCCAAAATTTGTTATAGCCACCACCATCGTTAGAATGACCACAATTGGTGGATCCATCGAGCGAATCACAAAAAAGCAGAGAAAGACCGACACTCCCGCAAACACCTTTCAAAATTGACCTTCATCATCTCCACCAACTCTACTTCCTATTCTTCCCTTTGTTGCCATGATATCTGATAAATGTATTTTGTACACTTATTTGTGTCGTTACATTAGAGCACTTGTTATTGATTTTGATGAATTATGGCTTATATATATTGTTTGTCAAGTAAAACTCAATGCAAAATGGTGGAATTGAAAGAAAAGAAAGAAACCCAATGACAAATGATGATTTCCAAAGATGAGGAATCAAATTACAAATATTTAATAGTTGATTCGGACTATAAACGAGGATTGAAGATCACATGGGATCAATTAGATAAGATTAGAAGTCAATGGAATGAAATTGCACGATAAAAGAACCAAAAACGCCCTGAGGAAGTTCATGGACCAACTTGCAATTGGTCCCAAAATAACTAAGCCATATTTGTGCATGGACTAAAGCCTTATGCACGCAAGGCTCTTTTTTTTATTTTTGCCAACCCAACAGTAAATATCATTTACCACACGCATACAATGAAGACTACCATGCACTCATGGTAAAAATTATAACCAGACTGGACAACTTTCATTTTTCAATCAGAACTCTTTTAGAACCAAATTTAGACACGATCTTGACCTAAAATTGATGGCTGTATACTAAATGGGGGTGAAAACATTAGGATCTCTCTTGAGCCTCTTAATTCACATCCATATCATAAAATCATTAAGGAACAAGTGGTGGACTTCATATGTTTTGGGGAAAGAAGATCTACCTAGCAAGAATTGAAAGTCAATTATATCAAAATCTTGAAGATTTCGAGCTTGAAATTGAAGAAAAAGATGTCTTTCATTCGTTCATGTTCCGGGCAACTTGTATTCATTATTCTTCTTGTAATATAATGGAAATCATGCTAGGCTAAATCCTTATTCTTATTGGATGAAGATGAATCCTTTATTTACATATCATTAATTCAAAGACAAGTAGTTTAGTGATTTTTGTGTTTGTTGATTAATTATGCATGCTTCGTTGCATTATTTAAATGGTTACATATTATTTAGATAATTAATTGCTTGTTCTAGTACTGGAATGCTCATAATAGGTTTAGAATACTGCACGATTAACACATTATAATAAATGTTAGGAATAGCATGCAGCAATCTTATTGATAATTATGTGATTTAATACATTTCTTTGTATATGAATACGGATTAGGAATATAACTGAATCGTACTTAGAATAGATTTCAGTTATCTTGAAAAAGAAATTTAAATACAATAGGATCATCGATTATCATGAATGCATATATAACAGTAAACTAAATAGTTGAGAATTGGAAATAGATGACTATCAGTGAATTTTAAATCCAATACAATCATTGTAAAATTTAATCAAACAAACACTTTTTACATAATCTTTAAGATAACTCAGAATAATTACAACCAATATATCTCTTTTGTGTTACTTAATTTCGAATTTAATAGAAAACTAGTACACATGAATTATAATTTATTTCTCATAAAACAATAACTCTATTCATTACAATATTATTTATCAATGATCTTGTACGTTTGCGAGTTTCGCACTAACATGTTTTTGGAACCGTCGTTGGGGAGTAAAATGTTTAATTTGAGTTTATATAGGATTCGAATTTTCTTATTTGTTTTAGCTATACCTGATCTTTCTCTTGTTTGGTTTTCTTTTCAAGGACTATATAGCATTTTTATGCAAGATTCTGAGAAAAT